GAGATCGATAGAACTAGCTGAGAGACAGGCGATGTGAAGGACACGCATGGTGTGGAGGTGAACGCGTTACCCCCCGGGAAAGATAATAGCGCGTTCGTTCCCTACCGCAAACACCTGCGGTCCAGAGTTTTGCAAAAATTTCAGCATCGTTGAAGTTAAATTAATAAGCGTTGAGAAAGAAGTGTAAAGGATAAGTCCAAAATTTCAGAGTTCAAATTCTTGGATTGCAAATGCCTGAATTTTGATCATAACAAGAAATTTCTAGAACACACAGGAAGCTTTTTAGCATGTAAACACTTGCTAATAGTTAAGGTAGGAAAAGTTGGGAAAGGTTTTTGTGAAAAAGATGATGTCCATTTCACTGCTTTTCTCAGTAGTGGAAAAGATTTTTAATCTTCACTAATATTTATGATGTGATAATACTTCAGTAGAGGTTTATTTTTTAAAATCATGGCTAGTGTTTTTAGGTTGGTAAAGAATAACAGTACAAATTTTCCTAACTGATTAGTTAACCTCATTAAGGAGGACCATGAATTGTTTTGAGCAACCACATCCGTCATCCTTACTAAACTCAACAGCATCAATTATATATATCTAGTGCCTTTACTTGATCAAGTCATAAACTGAGAACTTTGAAGCTGGGCAGGGTCTAATCGAGAAACAAGAAAGTCTTCCTACGTTTTCAAACTTCGCATAAGCGTGCTTTTAATACCATTACTCATTTGAAATACCGAGGAGTCGACTATGTCTCAGTTCTTCCTCTCTATCTTCAATTCATTCTGCTGGGAATTTGATCGAATGGATTTTGAATATTCCCGACAGTTGTGCGAATCCTTTGGGTTTTCTGATGTTCAGCCTTTTAATATCCTCATTCAGTTACTTGAAGCTGCATATTTCGACCACCGTGTTCTTAATGACGTCCTCAATGAATCTGTCTCTGTTCCTCTTGCGTATGTGTAGAGCTGTTTCTGAAGTGATTACCAAGTGGAGGTATTAGCGAAGTAAAAGGTTCACATAGTGTTGTGTATGTCCATAACCATAACTGAGTACTTCTTTCTGCTTAACGCTGTTTCAAAACCATGGTCATTAAATTGGTTATTTTCTCGTTCAATTCCTGATCATTTGATGAAATACATTCCATTTGAGATCAAATAGGAGGCTCAACAAACATTTGCTTTATGACATATCGTTATACGCCTTTCCCTATGTATTGTTGAAATCAGTGACTTTATCCTCTACTCAGGCGACACTTATTTCGAGTACTACGAAGTAGATGTATTTCGAACGCTATTCATAATTTTCTCTCTCTACAGTCTCTTACCATGGACCATTTCCTCATTAATTGGCGAAGAACTTCAAGAAAACAGCTTCCTTCGATATAATCCCTTCCATAACAACTTTGTCAAGGGCTTCTAGAGAGAGTGATGTTGTTAACGCTTCAACTAGCTTGTTGTTGATACAGACATAATCCAATCGTTTTGATCGGATCCATATCGTTTGCATTCCTATCCGCTACTATTTCATATTGAGAACATCGCAAGCGAAACGATTCCGGGGTCACGAAGAGCGATGAAATTAACAAATGATTGATAACGTCGTGGAAGTCCGTCCATAATTTTCCAAAGCACGTAGGTTTCGATGTTTCCTTATTGGCCACGTATTTTCCATTCCAATAGCTGCTTTGTGAACGGGTGGGGAAACGCATTAATTAGTGCTGGTATTGCTTCCAGCTTAGGGCACGTGCAGAGCAGTAGTCGCAAGCGCCCTGCAATACACGTGGGATCGATCGAAGCGCTCCAAGCCCACCAAGCTTTCCATGCCTCCGGGATCGGCGAATTGGTACCAAAATTGTCTGGGAGGATAGCAGCACTGACTCGATACATCGGTAGGCCACCGCGAGTCATTGTAAAGACCAGATATGCATTCATTCACCTCCAACGATGCTTAATGAAATCGAATGCATGGCGCATGCCTCAGGGATTGATCAACGCCGAGAGCTTTATGCTTTCATCCAGTAGTTCTTCGAAGTCCTATTTCATAAAGACTGGCTAGTAGATTCTTAAAGACCTTGATTTTTTTTACTATGCCTGTCTGTTGAGGAAAGGACCTTTAGTGTTACGTATTCATTCTCTCTTAGACGGCGTGTCGTACGAATGGGTGTTTACTTTCGCTCCTGGATGCAGCGATTCTTGGCCGATGAATATAACCTTTTAATGGTTTTCTAGTCGGCGAAGTTATGATGACATAGCAAGATGATCATAAAGACTACCACGGATTCAGCTGGTGTCGGTCTTCTCTCTCGTTGAGATCTTAGTTTATTTATTCTTTGAAGAAGGTAGCCCAAACTCATGTTGGTACTTGCCAGCGAGTATCAAGTTCATTGTTGGCCATGAAATTGTCTCTTCATTACTCATTACTCATACTTACTCATCGTAGCATCCACGCTAGTTTTTTTTTTAAATTGACGGTAATTTTTAGTATAGTTCATGAGTTGAGAATTTCACAGACTTTACTAAAATGGACTTTTGCCAGTCGCCCTGAGGACATATTTGGTTTCATCCTATTCTATTTCTTAAAAGTTTCTTTTTTTCGAAATTCTCTTTAGTTTCAAAGCAGTTTAGAATAGAAGTTTTTAAAATAGTAAAAGTAGAAACCAAATTTTCGGAGTTTTCAACACGAGCCCAGTAGCGTCGGCCTCTAACGGTACATCAGAGAAAACCATTGTATCCTAATCTACTGGACGAAATCACAATTCTTCATTTGTTTTCTTTCCGGAAATATGAGAGTTGATGTAAAGAAGGCAAAAGGAGAAGTTTAATAAGATCTGATGGGGTCGGATAGCACAGTGGTACTGATGTCTGTTATCGCGAGCATAGTACTAGTTCGATTTCGCTCCGAGCCCACTAAGCTTCTCATCCCCAGGGCTCAGGAAATTGGTACTGAGCTTGTCTGGAAAATATTATTCTTTGAAATTAAATTGGTAACACTCCAGCACGGTTATCTCAGGACTCCAGGGAGAATTGCTCGACCAGTATTCTACGACATTCAAGATGAAATGAAAATCCTCAAGCCACAACCGAAGCCATACGTGAAGTTGGAAGATCTTCGTGGAGAATGCATGTGAAGAAACCAACTGAAAGTGAGAAATGCTGGGATCGGCACAGTAGAAGTGAAGTTGGGTCAAATAAAATAAAAGAATAATAAAAATAATGAGATCTAGAGAATCGGAATTTTATCTTGAAAGAAGAAGAAAGTTTGGATTTGGTGTTAAAGATCTGTAGATTGTAAGGTTTACACCTCAATTAACATTAGGGTACCATAGACCTGTAACTTCTGAATGTTTACATTTTAATTAACAAAGCAGTAATTTCCAGGATCGACTTTCTGTTAGCCTCGGTATTGGAATATGAATGTGTCCTTTTCTTGTTCAGCAATTGCGAGGTTTTTAACCAGCATACATTTAGTTCCATAGAAGAACACAATACAATACAACACTAGTTGACGTTTCGGCAGTATCGCCTTCTTCAGAGCCGCTTTTTCGTGACTTCCAATGAGGAAGTTTAGAACAGCTGATTATACTCGCATATGGTTGGCGACTGACTTCGAGGTTCCAATGAGGAAGTCACGAAAAAGCGGCTCTGAAGAAGACGATACTGCCGAAACGTCAGCTAGTGTTGTATTGTATTGTGTTCTTCTATGGAGCTAAATGTATGCTGTTTAAAAACCTCGCGATTGCTGAACGAGAAAACGACACAAAGCAATAATATCAGCTGAGATATGTCGCTCTGAAGTAAAAATTGGTCATTACTCCAGCTCCGTGTGCTTTGAAACCAATGGACGTCCGGCGTTCTCTTTCAATAACTATTGTGTCTCCTGCCCACGATTCCAATAGGGTTTGCTCATTTTTATAAAGCATTTCAACTTTCCGCATTCTGCTTTTTGAAAGGCGTGAAAGAAGCATCATCACAAACATGATCGGGTCGAATGTATTTGAATTATTGAAGATGATTTTATGAAACACGTTTAACTCTCTTTAGAACTTTAACACTTTCGTAACGACGCCTAATCTTTGTTTAGTTGAGGTTTGGACGAAGCCTAATTTTCAGCCTTTATGGACATGCTTATTTTTTGAGAACGAACAGTGATTTTTCGATAGTTAGAGAAATTCGTGAGTTGTGAACATGAATGGGTTGCTTAAAAGATTCCCTATTGCTCTGTTCTGTAGGAATGAATGATATTCGTAGTGCTATTTCCTATGGTGGTTACTGTGGTCCGTCGTAGAAACACAATACCGTCGACATTTGGAAGTGTTTTGCAACTTGTGGACCTCTACTTTTGTGCTTTTAGTACTTTTATACCCAGACACTGTGTACGATAACTATCATTCACGATAGCGGTTACAATTGCAATAGTGATCTTTTAACAACCAAATTCCTTGCTATAAACTCGTTTGGTAAACGAGTTTTTTTGCATATTTTCGGGTAAAAGGGCGTGTGTAGTGCAGTGGTTGGAGGCGCTACTGCAGCACACGCGTGGAATCGATCCCCGCGCCCGTGACCCACTAAACCTTCCATCCCTCTGGAGTCGGATTTTTTTCCTTTTTTTTTGATTTTTTTCGGGAACAAAAAAAATTGGGAAGCTTTTTTCTAGCAACACCCAGTGCAACATCTGCGTTTTACGCGTTCTTACTTATCGGCTGATAACAAAACGTATAGGAAAATTGTTCAATTTTGCTAGAACAAACTAATGGAAGGAATGTGTTACCTGTGGATATCATGCCGGCCACTCCTGCAAGACCATTATGACGATTGTAGTTGTCACTCGTCGCGAGAGCGTTAACCTTACCTGGAATGCCTGAACTGAATCTTCGGTGATGCGTAACGCCAATACTTATGTGGAAACGTTGTTGGAAAGTGACGTTTATCCACACTATTTTAAGCGTAGAAATGCAAAAATAACGAAACCATGGAGTGTAACCATAAGAGAAATACACATTTGGTATGGGTCAATATGCACGAAAAGAATTTGAACTGCGCAATTTTAAGACAGTCCAGTTCGTGCAGGGTCAATTTGTAAGCTCGTACGACGCGACGATCGAGGACAGCTACCGTAAACACGTCGTTATCGACGGCGAAGATTGTCGACTTGAAATCCTCGACACGGCTGGTACGGTCTGTAATTCAACGTTTTCATTTTTCTAGTCATGATTTCATTCATTTCCCCATTCGGCTTTTCAGGAACAATTCTCCGGTCTTCGGGATTTATACGTACGAAATGGTCAAGGTTTCATCTTGGTGTACTCAGTAAATGACCAAAACTCTCTAGACGAACTACATGAGATCAGAAATATGATTGTCCGTATCAAGAAAGATTTTAACGTGAGTGGTACCTTTGATATACTTAAGATGCCATGACCAATGGCCATTGTAGGTTTTGATGCTCGTCATTAGTTACGCTCTTATAGTCAACATTCTAATGTATTCCTAAATCAAATCCCTCCCTAGGTATGGATTCAAATTCCGAAGGAGGGTGTTTTGCTTCAGCAGTGACTGCAAATGCACACACTCACATCCCCTCTGCAAATTTTTCGATGAAAACGTGCGAATTAGCAAATAGTGGAAGTAAGCGCGAACTCATCTAGAAAGGTTGGCTGTGTTCTTATCGAAGAGGATCCATTCATACTTCAGAGGAACAAAAGTTTTACAGAGCTGATTGGTGGTGGTGTCCAAAGAAATTTTAAAGCATGCTACAGATTTCTTCAGAGTAAACATCTCACGATTTGTAAGGCTTCAAAAAGAATGGAAGCGGCCGATTTTGAGAACTTTTAGACTATCTTATCTTTTTTCGCATTGTGTTTTCCTGCAGGAAATCAGAATATTTTCAAAACAAGGTTCGTCATTGATATCGTCACCATATTTCGTCGGTTTGAAATAAGATATTGTGGAATTAGTCGTTGGTAGGTCGACGTTTTATCTTTCGCAGATGATTAATTTGCAAATCCTCCGATCTTGAATTGATAAAAGATCTGTTTGGCGTTTGAGCTATGGATGGAACGAAAATTGTGAGAGATAGTAGCACTTCGCTGCATGGGGCCAAGTATTCCCATCAGATTTAGGCGAGTCAGCGCTTTCTTGTCGGCGTCCCTCTACAAACTCTTCTACGTTCACTTTAGAATTCTTTAAAGTGAAATACGCAGTTGTGAAGTCACCTTTTACTTAATTCGTCTAAAATCATGTCTATTATCGATTTATTCCCACCGGCACCAGTAAAATCCTCAGCGTTGTCAGTATCGCGTGTCAAAAAACTGTATTAAGGGTCTCACTCGTAGGAAAGGAATAAAGAGCATCACGGTTTTCAGTGTGAAGCTCTTTATTTCCGTATGTTCTGGAGAGAGAGTTGCCACTTTTCGTTGAGTTTTCAGATAAAAATGGCGAACTCCTCATCTTCGATGACCCTGCTGGATTAATGATTTACTGCAACGCATCGCATTCTCGCGTTAAGGAACAAGCAACGACCGGGCATCAAAGAGTATTAATAAATGCAATAGTAACTTATAGAAATCCTTTGATTCAGCAAGGCGTTTTAATATATATAAAACGAATATTTAGCAGTGCACGTAAAGGATAAAAATGTAAGACATTCGGCGTTGATCATTCCCTGACGGTGGCACTATGCGTTCGACTCCATCCAAACATTGTTAGATTACTGAATGCATATTTGACCTTTACAATGACTCGCGGTGACTTACACATATCGAAGCAATGTTGCTATCCCTCCAGACAAGTCTGGCACCAATTATCCGATCCTGATAGGAAAAAACTTGGTGAGATCGTAGAGTCAAGTGGGACAAACAGATATATATATATATTCTTCGTATTCTTGTTGAGCAGCAAGAATACGACGAATTACTTGATCAATGACGAGGTTAATAGAAAGTTGGTCGTGGGAGATACGTATATGTTCCAGTATCTCCAACCACTGTGCTAGTTGCGCACATGCTGAACCTTAAAAGTTCAAAAATTCTAGGATCGTAATCCGATACTCGACATAATGTAACTTCAAAAGTGTTAGCGTGTCATTTCTTGGTCATTTCCATTCATTTTGCTTAAAAGTACAGGACACGGTTTAAACGCGTTTCCCCTAATTTATTCTTATAACATCAAATGATTCGGGCTGTAAAAAATGAGATCTGCCCCACATGCAAAACTTTTTTAGATATCTAAAGGGTCCATCTACAAAAATTACCGAATATCGTTCGGACGCAGCACGGTTTCCAGCGGACTGGTAGTTTCCCGATTAGGCAAGATTTTCTCTTTCCGAAGCCATGAAGTCGTGCGAGAAATACTCGAGATCATCCACGTTTACCAATTAATGAATACTTTTCCAGCACTGCAGCCGTTCCAAACGCTGTTTCTCTCCTGGCTGCCTAAACCATTGGAAGGTTGAACGAGCTTTTTCTCGCGAAACTCGAGGTGGCCTAATCAGTTCTTCTTCCAAGTCACCATAGGTTGAGGCCCGTTGTGGATCCGAGATGGATTTGGATTTACGACCTTGTGACTGCGTTACCTGTAGAGCGGCAGCGAGTCTTCTTTTAGTTTCTTCTGCTGAGTTTTCCGTTGGAAACACCAAACCATCCAAGTGTTCACGCATCGTAGAACAGCTTCCCATTGTTTTATAAGTCTGCCAAAAGAAGAAAAAGTTATTTGTCTTTCCTCTATATCTGTTGCACTCCAAAAATTCATTCAATGTGTACCGAGGCTTCCATAATTTTTTATAAAGCGTTAAAATCTCTCCTAATGGTTAACCGCCTCATCGTGGCTGGGAAATCTTCCTGGGTGTCAGACTGCGATGTTCAGCGGGGGTATCCACCCCTCCGACAGGGTCTCCCAAGCTGAGGAGTCTGGCGTTTCCATCAGAAAGCCCAGCTGGGAGTAAACCAATACTAGGATCCGTTGCCGTTCTGGTACCAGACTAATTGCATGCTGCTGTTCGGCCAGGGTGACCTCGGGACTCCAGGGGACCACAATGGCTAAATCAGCAAAACTCCGAAAAAGTGGAAATTATGCTGGTGCCCATACAACAAATGAGGGCGGGCTATCCAAGTATCTAGGTATGTAAGCATTGACATCATTTCGTTAATAATCGGTAAGCCTGCTTTATGAGGAAATTATTAAGTAACTACCGAGTAGAGAAGTTAAGAGTTTGGGATATCTGCATCTTCAGCAAAAATGCTGCACATCACATGCTATTGTTCTATGAATTCTCTTATTATCAATGGAGGTTACTGATGAGGCCACAATCATTTCACATCTTCCATTTTAATTGAAATTGAAAGTAATGCTTTTATTCCTGCCATACGAAAGTGCTCCAGTGTAAACATCATCACTTCACTCTGTAGTGTTGTTAAATACTGACACTAAGATCTCCATCCGTCCAACTGTTGAGCGTTGGGTGACTTATTTCCATTGAACATTACCGGTTTATATGACAAGAGTAAGTTTATGGAAAATCTTGTGATTCCAAGCTACAGTCTCGAAACATCTGACGCTTCTCAAGATGTAGAACGGTTTTTTTTTCCATTCGGTATGTCATCTTCTCGGTGAAGAATCGCTCTAAGACACTCAGTTCCTCCAGTGTTAAACTGGAATGTGATAGGAATGCAATACCACTGGTTTCATGTTAATGATCTAAATTAAGATTAAGCTAAGCGATATAAAACTGGTCGAATCCACAGTGATGTGAAAAACCCCAACCGATTCCTTTCTCTTTTTATGCCCGCTTTTTGTTTAATAGAAAAAACGACTCCGAATACCTGCGCAATAGCAGTTTTACTGGAAATGTTAATTAGCTCCAAATCTAATTAAATTAGTGCTCTGCTGATAAGGGGAACTGATTTCTTTATAGAGTGAACTACGGGATTTGCCTAAACCAGATATATCATTGAAACGCTTGAACTATTATAGAGCTAAATCTGAAGTCGACCTGAAATTATGTTCATTGGATACGCTTTCTTCTTTTAAGCCCCTATTTTGTTTTAGATTCCAATGGTAGTCGTGGGAAACAAGACGGATTTGCGACGTGTGGTGCCTGAGAGTGCTAGCAGCGATTTGGGCAAGCAGTTCGGCTGTTCGTTCTACGAGTCCAGCGCGAAGCTTAACGAAAACGTTGCTGAGGTAGTTACAGTACCTGAATTCTTTAGTGGCCCATCGTTACGAGTCATTCTGGTCTCAGCGTATTTTCGCTTTGCAGTAGTAGGGAGATAGTATGCTTTTTCCTATGTGAGATCATCAAGCGTTGCTCGTGACACAATCGTTTCCAGCAACAGCTGGTTGATATCCGCCCATCTTATAGGCTATCGTTCTAAACGTGCTTGTTCTTCTCGTAGATCTGCCTTCCTCGTACATGGTTTTCCTGTCCTCCTGGATCAGAATTTATCAAAAGTCACTGGATGTAACTGAGAAATGTGACTTAATTCTTAGCAGCACACAAAGTTGTGGGTAGGAAAAAAAAGGGAAGGTAGCGTCAATTTGTCAAACGCCACTTGTATTATGATATTGGATGAGTATAATAAGTAAGTGCAGGAGTATAATACAGTAATAATAATAATAATATATAGTTTAGCAAGTACATGCACTGCAAAGGTCGCGGTGCACATATGAGACCAAAAATTAAACAGCATAGTTCACAACGGCATTGCTCCTAATAACATCGTTCATGTTCCCTTTAGTGACACGTCGGAGTTGGATCGGTAAGATTTTTTTAAAATAATCACTACGGTCTCGAGCGCGTTTCTATAATCGCCACAAGAATCACATTAATCACTAGAGAAGAGTGACAAGAGCGTGTACAGGATGTTTTCCAGTTTCCTGCTCAGAACTCGAATACATGTGAAAGCGACAACGGATAGGAATAAAATTATACAATGTATTAGATGATGTCCTTGCGGAACGAAACGATGTTGTTTCTGGAGAGATGATTGATATGGAAGAACCACAAACATGTCTGCTAATGTTATAGGTGGCTGTTGCAGAGGACATCTGCGTCCTCTTGGATATTCATTTTACTGGCCGGAGGTCCAAGTTTTGCAAATATCTCAACATCGCTGTGATTGTATCTCACATCATATCCTGCCGTGAAAAATTGTAGTAGGCAAATAAAAGGTTAGAATTGCGATTTGGACTACAGCATCAGCTTAAATGGGTTCAGTGCCGATTTGTGCTTTCCAGATCAATCCTGCTGACGGGTAATTGCTGATGGCAGCGTTAAGTAGAAAACTACCTGAGAGAAACGAGAGCAAGGGCTTCAGTGGTGCAGTGCGTAATACGCGAGGCCCTGGAAGAAGTAATCGTAGTTCGATCTGGCCCGGGTCCAGATTTTGCGAATATCTCAGCACCATTGTGGTTGTATCTCACGTCATACCCTGCTGTGAAAAATTATAGTAGGCGGAAAATAAAAAGGCTAACATTCATTCTACTGTTTTAGGTGCTAGAACATCCGTCTCGTTTGCTCTGGGATGAAGAGACTCGTTACATATTACTGGGTTGTATCCGACCTTGCTGTAGCTTATAGTAATTATATCAACATTTAATTTGGCATTAAGATATTCGCCGACTGTGTGCGACAAATCAGCAAAGCGGTCGACAGCCCAAAAAGGAAAAGGACGCTTAGAATCGGAAAGAAAACGTCGCCGAGAGACGTTTCGACGAAGTCGAGCAGAAAGCGTGCTTTTTACTGTTCAGTTATGTGAAGAAAAGAGCTGGAAATTCTCCATCTATGTGTGTTTATACTGTTTCTGTATAACATGGCATAAATGCTAGGTTCATCATTCAACTGTGGACTCACTAATAAGTTCGCAGTGGATTCAGTGAAGCTACAACTTCTAGTTTGAGTGAATCATAAACACGTCGCTTTCTCTGATTGTTCAGTCGGACCCTAACAAAGAAATGTTTCATTTCCAGTGCCATATTCCGCTCCTATTCGTTTTCTATCGTTCCACTGTTATTCTGGCTATCTTAGTAATAAACCTAATTAAGTCCCACTCATAACAGCACGGATCTGAGGAAGGTGAAGTCGCCGAAACGTCAGCCATCCACCGACAACACCGACAACAACGACAACAACGACGACAATAACAACTACGACGAAAACTTATACCAACCTCGCATCAGCTCAACGAGATCAGTTCATAAGATCATATAAGTCAATAAACCCAATTAAATCAATGACCGGAAAAATAACAAAAAGTAGCAGATAAAAACCGTATTAGGCGCGCGTCCGTAAGAGTGTTTTGTCATGATAAGGGAAACAATGCGAAGAATTGGTAATGATTTTTAAAAAACAAAATTCTTAAATTCATTACAAATATTTCTCCGAATTCTACTTGTACATCGGTGAACATGAGCCACTAAAAGTTTACACATTGAAAAAAGCATAATGACAATTTTAAATGAGATTTTAAACTAGTGCTATTCGAACAGTGATTTCTGCTTTCCTGCCCTGTCAGTATTCCTTTCCTGTTAACAAGACTGCATTCTGCTTAACATAATTAGATCGTGATAGAGAAGTGCAGAAATAAAGTCTGTCACAAAATAGCACACAGCACGCACGAACGCGACTTGGTGTGGTCTGCAGTACGATGACGTGCAAAGTAGCATGCATCACCACAAAAAAATGCGTTAGTTGAACATTGTGGTCTCCATAGAACCCCATCTGAACCCAGTTGACCCAAAATATGAAATAATTTTTTGACCATGTATTTATATTGTTGAGCTTACACGAGGTTGCTCTACAACTTTTATTCGGCTGACGTTTCGAGTTCATCTTTATCAGAGCCGACGATCCGAGTCGATGGTCTACAGTTTTTCGTCTTCTCTATGTGACGTCTTCTTCTTCGTATCGAACCGGGTCTTCGTCAGCCGAGCATTTCTCGAGTGAGGCATACTTACCCCACGATGTTCTTTTACACAGGACGATGATACGGTTATCCGGTAACAGTAACTTGTTTTCCGGGATAGTCCATCCTGCAGAAATCGACATCATTATCAGCGAGCACAAAGCTTGATAATACTTCGCAATCTCCTGTAAGCTCAAAAATTTGAGCACGTGTTGTTTAATCATACAGAGTTTAAAGGAAAGTCTGCTTTTGAAATATTGTTACGTTCTGTGCAAGCGGATAATGATACCGACTTATGCAGGATAGACTACCCCGGAAAAAACAAGTTGTTATCACCGGATACTCACTACTACCAACCATTATCATCCTGTATAAAAGAGCATCACAAAGTGAGAATCCCTTTTTCGAGAGATGGTCCCTGAGGAAGGATCAACTCGGGGCGAAGGCGAACACGCCAGACGCCATCGACTTGTATCATCGGCCCTTTCTTCATTTTCTCTCGGATGAAATTTATTTGTTCTTACTGTTAGCTGAGCAGTTAAAAGTATTTGTCGATCTCCTCTTGTGTTCAGCAGATGAAAAACGAGCATCGGTATATCTACAGCAGAGTAATGGGCCGAAACCGAGTACGGGAGCTCCAACTTTGGACATGAACGCAAAGGCAGCGCTTGATAATATTCGTTGCCCAACTGCCAACTTTCTCATTTGCGCGAAGAACTCGTCGGACCATTTCAGGATTGAGCAGTTTAGACACTCCTTTAACAGGGTATGAGTTACTGAATCGATAACTCCTACCTCTTTATTTCTCCTTTGTGCTGCACAAGGAGCTCGACGTCTCGGTGCGATTAAGGAGGACTCCACATCGAGACGAAGAGCAACTGTGGATCATTGACTTGGATCATCGACTTTAATGAAGACGAAGGCGTCAAAACGTTAGCCGAATAAACTTTGTTATCAAGCTCGTGTAGGCTCAAAAATTTGAAACATCTTGGTCATTTTGGTATCGAGGTTAAACGACGGTCTAGAAAACTGTTCTAAATGTTTAATTTCTAAATACCGTCTATTCTTTTTTCATGAAGAGTATTAAGTGAAATGCAACAAAAAGGATACTGAGCTATGAGTAAGATATATGGTACTGGTAAACTACAAATTCTCCACCCTTGTCACTAACTTATAGTTCAGTAGTTTTTGACTTTATTAGTTATCAGACCTTTTACATGCCACATTTTTGCGTGCAGTGACGGTGGAACTAAAATTTTCTTCGCGATAGCGGTTACTTATTTCCTGGAATACTTAGATGGTCGCCATCAGTGATTTTATAGGCCGAAAAATAATTTCAATTTGTTTATCACTCGCGCGGGCGTCGTCCATGTTGGTGATCTGTTTCTAACATGGTGACGTCCACTAGGCCTATTCCTTAAGCACGAAATCATTGCCATCTGCGAATGCGGATCCATTGTTCGGATTGCCTTCCAAGAACGCTTACATTTTCCTAAAGTCTACTCAACTATTGTTTCGTCCATTTGTTGACTGGTTTTTTATTACGTGCCAAGCCAACTGTGTTTCCCTATCGATTTATATTCTCCTGGATCCCGGACATAGGATACGTTTCAAGGATCTGAGCTGCGCAATCCGGAAAGATATTGAGAGTGCCGATTATATTTTAGAACACTTCGTTCAAGCGCTCTGTGGGTAGTGCAGAGTATCCTTGACGTGGTTGAAGAATCAGCCCACGTTTCTGCTGCATAATGGACTGTTGAATCGAAAAAATGAGCAGTTTTTAGTCTGTTAGTTGATCGATGACACCCGAATGCCGCCCATACTGCTCTCCTTTTTTTCTAATTCCTCCTTCATGCTGCTCTCCATGTTCACTGAACGTCAAACGTACACGGCCTGTGTAATCAGAGAACCATCGAGTTTTATCTGTTCGCCTTTGCACCATGGATTCTTCATGAATTGAGTCTCTTCTTCTAACTTATGCGTAGCCCAGTCTTTTTTCCTACTTTGTTGAAGTAGAAGGACTGAAAAGACTATTGAAGTAGGACTTTCCTACTTTGATCACCACCTCTTCTTCGTTGGTGCTTCTTGAGAAAATGACGATGTCGTCGGCAAAACGAGGGTTTGATGGGAATTTTCCATCAATACGCATTCCCTTCTCATCCCAATCGAGTGGCTTCGTTGTACACTGCAGTGCGGCAGTAAACAGCTTTGAAGATATTGTCTCCTTGTCGAACCCCTTTTCCTATGGACATGGTGAGTGGTCAGTGAAGAAGCTGTATATTTGTGCTGCAGTTCAGATAAGTCAGCTATTGATCCTATATAAGACGTGTTCCACTCATTGATCGACGAGTGCTGAAAGGATTGCCGCTATCAAACGCTTTTTCGTAGTCGATAAAGAGGACAGATGGTACTCCTGACAGATTTTTATAACCTGTGATATGGTTTGCATGTGGTCCATGCAGCATAATGAATGAAACCTGATCGCTCAACTAGCTGTGCCTCATTAAAGGTCTCCCGTATGCGCAAAAGGATAATCGTTATGAACAGCTTGTAGAGTACACTTAACAAGCATATTGTACGGTAGTTACGAAGGCCCTTCACTCACTTTCTAAGGCAGGGTAGCCGTGCACGAGGTCCTCCGCTGATCCGGATTTTCTCCTTCTGGAGGAAAGATGTTATATAGGTTGCGAGAAGTATATGTAATTTGTGGCCAACAGCTATAAGGAAATCGGCAGTGATATTATCGGAGTGCTGGAGCTGTATTCCTCTTCATGCGTTCTATCGAAACTTGAACTCCACAGGGTATATTTCCGATCGGCTTTTCACCAGCGGCAAGTTCGGAGTCTGAGACGAGATTTTGGAGTGGAAAAGATTGGTGTAGAGCCCTCCTGTTATCAGTTCCTTATCATAGAGAATTTGTTAAATAGAGCGGATAGCGGAACATTATAGTCGCAAAGATCCCGATGGTAGTTCTTCAGACTAGATCGTTTTTGAGCTGGTTCCCATAACGTTTTCTGCCTGTTCCGATGTAGATCCTCCTGGAAAAATCTTCTATAGCTTACATTTATTATCAACCATGTTTGACGTGTCCAGTAAGATTAGGCTTTGGTGTCCTTTTTCCTAGCAACTCCTTAGTGGTAATGAAGATGTGGTCCAAACAACTTGTTTGAGGAACTGAAGCGAATTCGGCACAAGTTTCAAGTTCTTCGTTAAGTAGCAGGTATTCCATAGTCGAGTCTTTCTCCATTTGCCAGTCGATAATATCCTTATCATACGCGACCTGTTTCGTTTCCCTTGGACGATGACAAGAGTTAATTCTTCGTATTCTTGTTGAGCAAACGCGAGGTGTTAGTTTCTTTTTTATTCACGAACCAGCTGACGTTTCGACGGATTTCGCCTTCTTCAAAGCCTGGAAAGGTCAAGTTAACAGCAATCGATTCGGTCAAACACTTCCATAACCAAACAGAGAAAACGCTAAACCAAGATTTCAATCACGTTGAACACAGACTAGCTTCTTTGCACACTCACCGCTTTCTATGAGTCTTCCAATGAAATGTTCCAAGTCTGGAGCTGAATTCTCCAACAACGAATTTATAAAAAGACTTCTCGCTGTAGACGGGGCCCTTCTTGGTGAGTAACAGTTGACAATACTGACTTTTTCTGACGTGCAATTTGA